TGATTTTTAACAGCTTCTTCCCTATTTTTCTAAGCCTGAATCTCAACAACACTCAGTGTTACAGAACTGTTATGCAAAAACTAATGTTTGTGACTGCTTAGATTCTGTTTAGGGCTAGATAAGCAGAAAAACCCAAAATTCAAGCAGTTTCATGCTTTTATACAATGGGAGTAGGGGATATGGTATTCCACAATTATCACAATCTCTATACAGACTTTTAATTTTTCATTTAATAATTAATAGTCCAGTTGTATTAACAAAAGTGATAACATCCAACCAATATTTATCTACATGTGGGGTGCACTATTTCAGGGACTTTGCCAAAATATGATTTTGACTATCTGTTCTGAACATCTAGAGAGGGCCTACTTAGTCCCACGCCTGCAAGAGATCAAGGTGGTTTGGGTCAAAAGACAGGCCATCTTGATAGTGGTCCCACATTTTGGAACCTGCTGCCTTGGAAGCATGCTTGGCTCCTACCCTTCTCTTCTGGTGGAGGGCTGTGGCCACCATTTTGTTTCTCTGAGTCTGTGGGCTGAGTGTGAGGAGCCATCTCATTATTATTATTGTGGATGTTTATAATATATTTTCAGATATTCCATTTTTGCTCTTCTGCGCCTGACCCAGAATCTGTTTGATGAGGCAATATGCAAATATTGCTAAATAAATAATTAAATAAAATATTAAATGTTGATTATAGTACTTTTTGCTACAAAAACTATTTACAAAGGATTAGTTAAAAGATCTTAATCAAATGCTTCCTATTTTAATGTAGAAATAACTTCCACATTAAAGATCATTTTAAAAGTCAAGTCGTTTGATGGGAGAAGCGAAGGACCTGGGAACAATCTTTATCTATAGAGTGATCTTCAAAGGGAGAGGAGTAAAGTATGTCTTGCATAAAGTGAATCCAAATTACACTTCAGCATCTCTGGAGAAGACTAGATTGGCAATGGCTATCTTTTTAAATACTTATGCAGCTACTCTAATTCTCTCTTTCCACTCCTCCCACTATTATGGGAGGAAAGTGTGTAAGCAACTAGTTACCAATAAAGGAATTTTGTTTTAGTTTTATTCATGGGAAAAGTTATTCCTCTTTTGGTCTTGGGTTGTTGTTTAATTGGAGCTAAATCTTTACTGGGTTTTAGCTGGGTCTTGTCTGAAAAGTGTTAAAGTTTCATCTTTACATACATGCAGGATTACTTAGTCTTGCTGGCATCTATTAATTATTGGCTAGAACTTAGTTTAAACTGCATTGTTCCCCAAAAATGTAAATCATTGAACGAAGGAGTCTCATAATAAGCTTGTTTATGAATATTAGCTTACCTCATTACATCTTATTCTTGGATATAGTTAATTATGTTTGTAATAATAAAATTGGTAAGTGGTATATGAGATCTCTAGATGTAATGAGTAAAATCTATAGGAATTTCTAAACAAATTGTTAAAAAGCATGTGAGGCAATTCTTGATTATTCAGTAAACTAAAAATCTGTTGGAAAGCAAGGAGGATTTGTATTTTAAAAAATAATCAAAATTTAAAATTTTTGAAATACAAGGTGGATTTGTATTTAAATTCATTTTCTCTCTTTTCTATTTTTCTTTTGCTTTTTTCCCATTCTTGCACTTTTAGCTTTCTCTTTGATTTCTTTCTCTTTTTTCCTTTTTAAGTTTGTATTAGTTTTTATCTTCCTTTTTAAAACTTCTAATAAAATTATATAAAAAATAATCAGTGCAAATTGTCAGCCTTTATTTTTAAGTTTGTACTCTTAGAAGACATTTTAAAGCAAAGACCTGTATTCTTTGCTTTCTAGAAATCAATACAAAAGTCTTGAGGAATTCCACAGTGCTAGGTTTGAATATAGTTTGTGCTCAGTTAAAGTACTGCATTAATACCAGAAAGACCCGAGAAAAAACAAAAATACCTTTTAGTGTATATGGGAAAGTTGTTTTGGAAGGCTTTGAAATTCTTTTCTTTCACCAGTTGGGGACCTTTGGGCTTAGACCCCATAGTGTTGCTGTGTGCAATACCATGAAGCTGTTGGATTTCAGCTGCTGGCATATCTCTGATTGTAGTTTGGAACAATGCACTTTTCTTTCAGAGATAGTGAGGGCAAGTCAATTCCTGTGTAGACACTCAGTGTTGTAGATGTAGATTTCTGATTCATGTGCCTTGATTGTTTACCATAGGGAAATATGGGTTCAAGATTATCTGGCAGTACCACATCAGCTTTATCTTCTTAATGTAAATAAGCAAAACCCACAAGAATGTACATAAGAACAGAGAAAATTCATAACTTAGGAAATTTACTTGCACCCAACCAAGGAGTGTAAAGTAGCAAATAAAATAGTCAGGTTTTATAGAAAATAGATTTTTAAGGTATAGTTAACTAGATCAGGTCAACAGGTTTTATAGGTTTTGTATCTATAATTTTTATGCTTTCTTAAATTGACCTTCATGTATGTAGGTGTATGTGGATGTTTTGATATATATTCTTTTTTTATTTTGCATTGGGCACTGACTGTAATAAAGTTTGTTCTTCTAAGAACCTGAGTTAGTATCTAGGTTAGCTAATTTGAAAAAAAAAATAGTTTTGTGTATGAAGGAGTAGTCAATCAGTGGCAGTTCTACTCCACTGTATTTAATGGTCCTTCAGTAGAGAGAGGCAGACCACTTGCTAGGACCCCAGCAACGAATATTTCTGTCATCTTTATCCTATATGTAGGCTTTGCACACCTAACTGGCTACTAATGAAAACAGAATGCTAGATTAAAAGGTTCCTTGATTTGATCCAAGAATAAATCTCTTTGAACATTCATTCATTAAATGTAAGAAAGCTTGTGTAAGCATGGTACTAAAAACTATGGATGTAGAGTGCAGTTTTTGGTCATATAAAGGGGTCTTAATTACTGATCACATCTCTTTTTAGTAGTTCTCCACTGAAATCCTTTAGTACTGTAGATTTTTCCATTTAAAGGGTAATGGAGTTTAAACTTCACCTTTGCCCTGTATGGTTATTTACTGAAAGGAGAACTTGGGTAATTTCTTTGGACCAAGATTATCTCAAGTTAGATGACTCAAGAGCATTGTTGCTTAATTTAAGTGCTTTACTTATTAGTTGACTGAAATAAGTAAGTTAAAAGTAAATATCCTGTTTAACTAATATAGAAAATAAAGAAGATGAAAGCTTTCAATGGGAAACAATGTCTTCAGCTGTAGGGGAGTTTTCCTGTTTAAATAAGCCTGTCTTTTCTACTGTTTACATATTTTGGTTACTCCACAGTTGAAGGAGTTGGCTAATTGTAAGATTGGAGGCAGGGACGTTTCTTTTGTTCTTGGTCAAACAACTTTGTAAAATTAGAGGGGAAACATATTAAAAACTGCCAAACCTGTCTTGCCAGAGGTAACTGGGATGGATGTACATACTGTGAGGAGTAATCACTTAAAAAACCTGTATTTAATTCTCTGGGGGGAAAGCAACACAGTCCTTTTAGCCAGCAAATTGGCTTTGTGAGTTCAGTAATATCCTCCTCAGTCCTTAACAAATTAACTTAAAGTTGACAAAAGGAACATTCTCATCTAAATGTGCATCTAAATGTGTATCTAGAGTGTTTTTATATGTGTATGTATATACAGATCCTGACCAGCTACTCTAGATTTCTATTTGCAGGAAATCTGATTGATAGATTTCCAGGCTGATGGGAATGTAGAGTTCCTTGGTCACAAATTGTTTTCTGAACCCGTTTGTATTGGTTGTAGACCTGGGTCTTTCTCTAGTCAGAGCCCTGTTAAGAAAGAGTTGTTGTTCTCTTTCCTTTTTGCTATTATTGCAGGGGATATGAAAGAATGAGGTGGAAGGCCAAGCAAAGAAATCTATTTCATGTAGAGCAGTCAGCTGAAACGAAGAATGTTTTGGCCTGACTGAAATTACTTCTCTCATGACACTGAAAGCAGTGCATATATATTTTTGAAAGCAGCACCAATTAGGTCAAAACGATCAACATAATGCGTAGATACATTCTAAATTAAGCACTTTCCTAATGCTCGAGGACATTTGGCATGCTGCACAAATAATGCTTGACTTGGTGAAACATAGGGTAGACAACAAACATTGAGTACTTTATCTTGGATAGTTGGATATGAATAGCCCTTCAGGAGTCTGGAATATACTTAAGGGAGACAGAATAATAGATTTTGAAGATCCATTGCAAACTGTTGAAATCATAAACCAGGAAATGAACTGGAAGCTTGACAATTTCCTTTCTTAAACCAGCTGCAGATCTTTTGTGTAGGTAGTGGAGTTGCAAAATGCAGGGGAGTAATATTGAAAAATGTTATAAATAAATAATAAATAGGACCATCTCTATTTGTTTATGAAATATAGAGACTTACTATAATGACAGTAGTACTCAGAGTGGCATGCAATGGCACCACACAAATACACATTCTAAATACTCAAAAGGAATCTATTAAGCTTCAGATAATCTAGAAAAAATGTAAGGAGGGGGAGAGTAAGTACATATGAGCACATATTCATTATGCCTATCATAAATTCAGCAACTCTGTTTAATTGCCCTGTGAAAGATTATTGAAATGAGTTGTGCAAACACCATTTGATAAGCTAAGATAGCTTTAAGTACCTATATGTCCCTAAAGGTTGGGAGAGTCTATTCGAATTTTTTAACATGCTTACTTATGTGAAATACAATAGAAACATAAGAGAATGCAATAGAATCATAATAATTGGAGATAGCACTGACTGCAAAACTTTCAGTTGGATTTAGTCTACTGAAATCAGTGATTTAAATATATGAAAGGAAAGTCATTTTCATAAAGAACCTCAGGTTTCCCTATTCATTTATAATAAGAAATGGTAGTTGCAGAGAGTAAAGCTTTTATAAACTGGAAGAATTCGTATCTAGCTGTTGATTTTGTGGATTAAATTTGCAGAAAGTTGCTTTTTATTTTCTTAATATGGATTTTTGTTTGTTTTTTTAAAGGTACGGACGCTCTTTGTCAGTGGTCTGCCCCTGGACATCAAACCTCGAGAGCTCTATCTCTTGTTCAGACCATTCAAGGTACTTTCTTTGACGATCAATCTTGGAAGAAAAACTGGGACCAAGTGCCAGTGTGCTTATTTATAGAAACATTGTGATTTGTCTTGTTATTATAAATGGCATATTTCCACAGTAATGTGTGATGGCTTCTTCTGGAGGGGAAGACAATGTTCCCAGTATATGGATTTTAAAAACATTGGAATACAGTTAATCATAATATCTTATTTCAGCTGAAAACGTGGCTAGGAGGACTTTCTAAGAGACTGAAAGTTGGCCAAACGCCCCCCCCCCCAAATGATTATAAATATTGCAGTGGTGTGAGGAAGGCTCCAAGTTACACATACGAGCCTCTACTGATGATAAAGATTAGGTAGGGTTCATAATGTCTGTTAATGACGTTATGTACTGTATGTGCTTCCTTACATTCTTCAAAGGTATGTGCATATTCCACTTGTTTCCTATTTTCTGATACCAGCAATAGAAACTTACAAACCCAACATGTTTTTTGTTTGGTTCTGGGCTGATAAACCTCATCTTCACACTTAGAAAGCATAATATTAACCTATATATGTATAAAATCCATCTTTCTTGGTAATGAAATCTTTTAATCTACTTCAGTACATTTCCCCACCTACACCCTTTGAACTGGATATCATGGGGAAAGTTCTTTTCTGTGTCATCTCTGTTTGAAAGCTTGATTATACGCGTATTATTATGACTGTGCAAAGCATTGGAAAGACGTGTTTCACCAAATGTGTTAGAATCCACAGAGCACCTCTCTTTGAAGTGTTAAACCAGCCAGGTCTTTTGCAAGACTTGCTTGGCTGCTTTGAAACCTATCCATGACTGTTTCCGAGTGTGTATGCAAGCACAGCCACTTCCTTTTGTTAAGGGTCCCAGGTGGAAGTGTTGCCTGTGCAGATACCTGCAGACGATCTCATCTCCAGGGCGGCTTTGTGAGCTTGCAGAAGACTTCACAAAGAGGTGCTTTCTTTGCTCACCTGCTTTGCCAGACACCTCTTTTGAATGCCTTGCAGAGTCCTAATACATATCCATTAGCAGTTTCTTACAGTACTTGGGGGATCTTCCATTGTGCATTACCATGTCAGTGCTTTCTAAATCATGGAAACACACCTTTTACAATTTTGCCCCAGGAAAGATGGAGACTAAAGATCTTTATTTCTTGGAAGCCCCAAGTGCTTCTCCCTGTGGGTTGATTCAGAAGTACCAATAGAGGCGAATATGTGTAGCTCAGGGTTGAACTGTGGAGTCCTTGGGGTCCTCTGAGCTTGGTTCTTTTCTTGCAAACATTTTATTACCTGGCTAGGTAACATTTTCAGTGCTAAAATGGGATGGGGTTTATATGCTGTGGCCTGCCTTGCGCATCCACGAGCACCAACGAGCAGTCAGAAGACATGATGAAAATTCCTTTTTCCCACAACACATGGACAGACTCAACCATAGTTTTAACTGGGAAACTCTCAGCATTTTAGACCAAGCCAAATCCAAATATGCAAGAGAACTCTTGGAAGCC